TTTCTTAGAGTAGTTTTTGAGTAAACTTTGATATACACTTTTTCTATTTTTGTAAAATTGAGATCGGCAGAAAGAGTGTGAGTATATTTTAGTTATTAATTCATTAATTAATATATTAAATATATTAAAAATAAATATAATAAGTATACTAATTTTTGAAAATTAATTATTTATATTGATATTAAATGTTATATAATATATTAATAAGATACTAAATCAGTTTTTATTTATATATTATTTAAACTATTTGTTAACTTTTTTATTTCTAATTTCTAGTATAACTACATTATACAATTACTTTATTTTAATAAATGTTTTAAGTAAATACTAATTATAAATACTATACATATATTAAATAATATAATATATTAGTTTAATTCTTTAATCTAAGTTTTATTTTTGTAAAGTCATATAATAATATTGAATTACAAATTTAATAATATAAATAGTATTAAATTATTAATTTTTTTTAATACTATATGTTATCTGCATTAATTTAATGATTCTATAGATTTATTTATTTAATAACTTAAATTATTAGTTAAATAATAAGTTGTATCTAGTATAATATTTAAATATTAACAATCTACTTTTAACAAATATTAAATATAAACAGTTTAGTTCTAACTTAAATTAGATCAATTATAATAGTAAAATAGTTGAATTAGATTTTTAATTTTCTTTAAATAATTTAAATATTTAATTTTAATAATAATTTAAATAAATAAACAAAATAATAAAATAAAATAATAATAAAATAAAATAATAAAATAAAATAATAAAATAATAAAAAATAATAATAATAATTTGTAAATTATATATAGTAGTAATAAAAAAAACCTGTAACAGAAAAAAAAATTATTGCTTAAAATAATTATATTCTAATTTTATCAAAAATTAATAAAATTCTTCATTATAAATTGATTCAAAATCAATATCTGAATTTTTTTCAGATTCAGATTCTTGTTCAATATTATCATTTAAAGGTAAAATATTTTTCAATTTCATTAATATAATAAGAATTTAAATCTATCATTTCTACTATAAGCAAATCATCAAGATTGGATTCTTCTGTTTTATCATCTATATCAAAACTATTTTCATTTTCATTTTCATTTTCATCTTCATTATTATTACCTTCTTCATTAAAAAAATCATCATTTTCAATAAAAGTTTCTGTTATTTTATTAATAGTTTTTTTTAATTCATTTTCATTAAAATTTTCTTTGAAAAATTTTAATTTAGATGTTATATTTGTAATATAAAATGAATGAATTTGTGCCATTAATTGAAGAAAATTAATATTTAATCTAAAAATATTTTAAATAAAGTTATTAAAATTACAAAATAAATAAACTAATTTTTATTTTTTTTATTATTATTTTTATACTTACCTAGTTCTTTTTTTTCCAATCATCCAGTTCAAAATAGAAAATACTCTTTCACATGCTGCTTGATGAGGAACAATAGAAAATAATTTTAATGCTAATTGTTGTATATAATTGTCTGGTTGTCGACAAGTTTGCACCAAATTTCAGGAGTATCATAATTATCTACATATTCTGTATCATATGGTATAATATTTTCTGAATATTTTCTACATTGAGATAGTAAAATTTTATAACTATTTGTTTTACTACCAAAATTTTTTCAAATTTTTATTGCATGTAAACTAATTTCACGAAATACTTTATCTTTAAATCGTTTACCTAAAATAAAATAAAATTAAATTAATAAATTTTAATTTAAAATAAATGAAATTAAAATTACCTTTATATTTAGAATGTAAAAAATAAACAAGAAGATAAGTTAAAATATCAAATTGTTTTCAATAATTATTATAAATTTTAATACATTGTTTTTTGAAATTAAAATCTATAATATTAGAAATATTTTTAATTGTAATTATCATTTTAACTAATTCCAAAAAACATAATGCCATATTGTTTGATTTTGTTTTAATTACATTAATTGCTCTTTTAGTAGGTACAAGAATAATTTCTAATTGCTCTACATCTTGCCAAAATTGATGATTACAAAGAATAATTTTTACATTTAAAGCATCTTGAAAAATTTCAGATTGATTTTCAAAAACCTAAATAAAAACATATAAATATAAAAATTTAATATTAATAATTAAATTTAATTAAAAATTAAAAAAATTAATAAATATAATAATAAAAAAATATTATATTTACATTTTTAAGACTATGTTCCAATCTAATAAGTGAATTACAACAATCCCATACAGTAGACTATTTTGTTTTTACTGAAGTTTTTAATCCTTTATCTTTTATAAAATTATTAATAATATTTTCTTGAAGAGCTGCACCAGCACGATAAGATTGTTTAAAAAAAGAAATTAAAGTTTGACATTTTGTAAAAACTGTTTTAGCAAAATTTAATTTAATAATATTAGAAGTTATAAGATTAATATGATGAGCTATACACCTTATAGATAAAATATGAGAATACTTAGTAGAAATTATTTTTTTTGCTAATTACATGACTGATTCTGCATCTGTAACAATAGCAACAAATTTTTAAGATCCAATTGAAGTTAAAACTTTTCAATTTCAGAAGCATTAAAGGAACCAATATGAGATTGACTTGATTTATCAATTAAAGCATAAATATATTGTTTTCTACTAGGTGTAATAATTACAAAAACATAAATAGATTTTCCTAAAGGACTAGACCATCCATCTATAGTTATTAAATAATAAATTATATTAGTATAATTAAAATTTTGTAATTTAATAAATTTAATTTAATTATATTTTTACCTAA